CACACACCACACACGACACACACACGCGCACACGCGACACATACAACACCACCGCACGCACACGAACTCACCGCGGGGTGGACCAAATACCAGAAGGACGCTGGTAGACCTGTTCGTGGACCACTGCACGGGACTCGACGCCGACTTGCTGTTCAACAACCTGCCGCCCGGGCTCGAGCGGCTCGGTAGCCAGCAGATCGTGAAGCGCGACCAGTCGCTCAAGGTGCTCGCCTTCGCCTGCCCCAAGCTCACCTCGCTCTCCCTGCGCGGCGGCGCCATCAGCGACTTCGGGTTCAAGATGCTCACGTCCAACCCGCCCTGCGCGCTCGCCCACCTGGTACGCCACCCACCGCCGACCTAACCGACCTAACCGATCACATGTTCGACATTCTTCTTCAAACTCACCGCCACCATCATCAGCGCGTGGAGGACTGCTACGACATCTCGGACGTGGGCCTGAGTTACTTGACCGCCGGCGCGCCCAAGCTCAGGTACTGTCTTTTTGTGAATGTGTGGTGTGCGGTGTGTGCGGTGTGCGATGTGTGCGGTGTGTGGTGTGTATTTCTGACTTGAATTGCTTCGCAGGGTGCTGGAGATGACCAGCGCAGCTAAGCTTTCCATCAAGGCCCTGCACGAGCTGTGCAAGAGACGACCCAAGCTGCGCCTCACTCCCTTCCCCACCATGTCTGCTCCCATGGGCCGCCTCCTCTTCTCGCACGACCTCTAACTTCATTTTTGCTGACGTCATGTTTTATTCGGTAAGAAAAGAAAGAACTCGCTCGAGAAGAAATACTCGCCATTATGCACTTTATTTAGACCAAAGACCAAAGTTTGAACAAACTGGAGGTGGACGGCGGCATGGAGAGGCTGTCCGAGGAAGTGTTGTTGCATGTGCTGAGTTTTTTGGGCGATGCTGCCTGTCTCTGCCGCGCCGGCATGGTCAACCGCACTTGGCACACCGTGGCCGCCGACAACGCGTACTCCCTCTTTTTTCCTTTATTATTGTTTTATGTATTTATTTATTTATGTATTTATTAAATCTCACCAAATAATTAATAATAAATGTTATTTAGGTTGTGGAAAGCGCTGGCGCTGAGCAATGGGTGGCGGCTGCCCGACGACGTGAGTACGGCGACGCGCGACATCGTGGCCAAGCTCAATAGAGCCAAGGCCATGCCCGGCACCGGCAGTGGCGCGTGGAAGGCGTGGTTCATTTCGGCGCTGGTGGAGCGGGTGCTCGACGGCAAGACCGAGCGCGAGCTGGTCGCGGCGGAGGACGACCATCATCAACAAACGAAGAAGAAGAAGAAGAAGAGAGTGAACCGCGGCTTCGAGGATACGAATGACGCTGGCGGTGAAGAGGCAGAGGCGGCTGATGACGATGATGAAGAAGAAGAAGATGAAGAAGAAGAAGACGCCACGTCGTATTCCAACAACAGCAAGGTGCAGATGGCCAGCAGACAGGTGGTCGTGAGTCGTCCCATCGGCTTGGACGACGAGCCAGCGGCCGAGGTACACACACACTTCGTCGCGCCCCTTCTTCGTTCTTCTTCGTTCTTTGCGCGTCGCTCTTCGCTCTTTCTCACACCGGTCCGGTGGCGGGACCACTGCAGGAGCTGCAGGGGGGCACCGTGTGGGGCATCCTCAACTTCCTGCTGACCGAGGACATGCCCAACAGTACGACACGTCCATTGCTTGGCCAACACTTTGCTGCTTCTCAAGTGGTGTGTGTGTTGTGTGTGTTGTGTGTGTGTTGTGTGTGTGTGTGTGTGTGTCGTCAGGCGATAAGGCCATAGCGGCGTTCCTGACTACACACACGCTGTTCACCGAAAGCGGCCACGTGCTCGACCTGGCCATCAACTTGTACCCTTCCCCCGATTTACGCCGCTCACCAGCAGCTTCTAAGACTGCTCACTTTTGTTGATGTGACCACACCTGGCCATAGTTTCGAGGGATCTGCCCACGCGCAGGCGTCCGACACCTTCCAGCGTCTCTGGAACAAGTACAAGGGCCAATTCACCCAAGCCAGGTGTGTACCCATACATTACCATCACCATTATCATCATCATCATTACCTTCTTCTTCTTCATCATCGTCACCGTCGCTGTGCATTGCAGGGTTTTGCAGATGCTGGAGAAGTGGTTGGCCAAGTACCCGGGGGCGTTCGTTCGTCGGTCCCCCTTTGCGAGCCCTGCCAACAAGGCTGCGGCGTCACCTGCACCCGCGGCCATGCGCAAGACGCTGGACGCGTTTCTTGAGCGCGCCACCGCGAAGGCCGCCTCCCAGTTCGAGCAGGCGCTGGCCCGCCTGCGCGACCGACTCGGCGCGCTCACCGCCACTGCCGCCGCCGCGCAATGTGAGGAGCCCGACGAGGGGCTCGACGACGACAACAGCACGCCCGAGGACTTCGAGGGAAGCGACGATGAACTGCTCAAGGAGTACCAAGCGCTGGATCTGCTCAAGGTACACAACAACATATATTTTCTATATCCACTATATTGTCTGTATCTACGTATAGATATATAGCAATATATTATATGCATTTTTATGAAGATAATGAGACATATGACATGTGCACGTGTGCAGATCAAGACGGAGGTGCTGGCGCGGCAGCTCACGCTGATTGACTACGAGCTGCTTCAGGGGCTCACACACGAAGAGCTCCTCGAGCAGCGATGGAAGCGGCAGGCCAAGTTTTGCCCGAACGTCCGACGCTTCGTCAATCACTTCAACTACGTTCGTACCCATCAGCGCGTGTGCCGTGCGTGTCGTGTCGTGTCGTGTCGTGTCGTGTCGTGTCGTGTCGTGTCGTGTCGTGTGTCGTGTCGTGTCGTGTGGCGTGTCGTGTGGCGTGTCGTGTGGCGTGTAGTGTCGTGTCGTGTCGTGTGGCGTGTCGTGTCGTGTCGTGTCGTGTCGTGTCGTGTCGTGTCGTGTGGCGTGTCGTGTGGCGTGTCGTGTGGCGTGTAGTGTCGTGTCGTGTCGTGTCGTGTCGTGTCGTGTCGTGTCGTGTCGTGTCGTGTCGTGTCGTGTCGTGTCGTGTCGTGTCGTGTCGTGTCGTGTGTAGTGCACTCATCATCGCATGGGGTGGCTTCCAGATTTCGGCGGTGGTGACGACCTCGATCGTGCTGCAGATCACGGACAAAGCGCGGGCCAAGTTCATCAAGAAGTGGGTCGAAGTGGCCGACAAGTGCCTCCAGCTCAACAACATCAGCTGCGCGCTGGACATCGTCTCCGGCATCGGCTCGTCCCCCATCTTCCGGCTTCGCAAGACCTGGAGCGTACGTGTGTTGTGTGTCGTGTGTGTCGTGTGTGTCGTGTGTGTCGTGTGTGTCGTGTGTGTCGTGTGTGTCGTGTGTGTCGTGTGTGCTCTCCAAAGCTCACCCGCAGATTGCGTCATCTGCAGCGGGTGTCCAAGTCGCTCGTGAAGCGCTTGGAGGGGCTGCAGGCCGAACTCACGCGCAGCCACTCCTACAAGCGCCTGCGCGATCGCCTCTTCACGGCCACCCCGCCCTGCGTTCCGTATCTCGGTACTCTACTTCGCTCTCCCCCGCGTGCACGCAATCTAACCTCCGTGTGTCGTGTGTGTCGTGTGTCATGTGTGTCGTGTCGTGTCGCTCAATTTCGCAACGCCCGGTAATCGCCGCACGCACGCAGGGATGTACCTGGTGGACCTCGCCTTCATCAGCGACGGCAACCCACACCTGGTGCAGGTAGACTGGCCCGACCACGAGGCCGGCGTGCCCTGCTGGCCCTACCACTACATGACCGCCAACGCCATCAATCACGTACGGCTCCTCCCGCGCAAGCTTCAACGCGCAACAGCGTTTAACGAATACACGCAAACAACGACACGACACACACGACACACACGACACACACGACATATAGTTGCTGTCGTTCCAGGGTCACCCGTACCCCTTCACGAAGGACGAGGAGCTGTGCCGCAAACTTCTCAGCCTAAAGCACCTCAGCGCGGAGAGGTATATCAAATCCCCCCGCACACGCTCCACCACGCGCGCGCGCACACACACACACACAACACCGCTCACCTCGCCCACCTCCAACCCGCCATGTGCAGGCGCTACCAGCTGTCGCTCTTGCGGGAGCCGCGCGAACCCGGCAGATCGGCGCCCACTCCTTCCTTCGAGTCCTGTTGAACTCTTTGGTTTGTTTTCGTGCATTTTTGGCCCAGGCACTGAACAAGTGTTGTGGTGCCGAAGAAAAAGAAGAAGAAGCAAGTCTGTCGGTGGGTCCTAGCACAAGGCCTCCAGTTCTTCCCAGGCTCAGCCAGGGCAGTTCTCCGCAAGATGTCACTGCCTAAGATGTGGCATTGACTTTGGATGGTAGTGTGGGACAATGACTCACTCCCTGGCTTGGCCAACTAGTTGGTAAGAGCGCACTATACCAAGCACCATCATGACTACCTCCTACAATCCAGCCCAGGACAACCAGCTGTTGAGTACTCACACCATCTTCATCTTCACCTTCATCTTCATCTTCATCACCACCAAACAAAAATATGCAAGACTCACCCCAGTTCCACTTTGAAGACACGATCAGATGCCACTTTCAGGACTTGGCGGACACCTACGCGTTCCGAGTGTCGCCCTGGGGCCACCGCCATGCGTTGTGGTGGTGGCTCGGCCACATTGCAACCAACTCCCAACAGGTGGGAGATGAAGACGGCCAACTCGTGTGCTTGCTGCAGGGACTGGTCAGGGCATTGAATTTCCACAAGAAGCCCATCTACAACTTTGTCCAGTTGCATCCTGTACGACCCAACACCACGTCTGGCCAGGGCGTAAGAGCATCTACTCATTTTCTCAATGCAGTTGAAAAGAGACTGCGAGGATGCCGAAACGCTGGCGTTGGCTGACTTCATACTCCACCTTCTGTGGAAGCATTGTGTACTCCACCAACCCCGCTCTGATTATGGCATTGATGACACCAACAAACTCGATTGGTTCACAGAGCACGGTGAGCACTGCCACAGTCTCCTTCCCCTTCTTCAACCTTGTGTGCATTAAGCCACGTCATCAGGTCTTCACCTCGTCCACATTCCGTGGCCTGCGCAATGCAGGTAACAGCTCTTTTCAACAGTGATCAATGTATCGTTGCGTTGTAATTGTTTGCTTTTTCGGCCGAGACCAAACAACAGGCCAGATTCGTGATTGGAAGATTGAGTGGACCGACGGAGGCCACTCTGGCTACCGGTACTGGCAGAGTCATCCAGACACTCTCGAGGGCAGCGGTCCGCTAGTGCAGCGCCTGGTCAGCCCAATCAGAGCGAAGGACGACCAGCAGCAACCCGCACCGACTTCCAGTTCCACCCAACGACGCTCGCGCAGGCTCCCACTCGGCGGTATGTCCGCTAACCATTACTATTTATCATTTATTATTTATCATTTATTTATTGTCTCTTTTATGATTCTGGATTTGTGATGGTGGGCAGACGAACTACCCGCCGCTCGCGTCGTACCGAGGAGAGGCCGGCCCAAGCCGCCGCGCCCGGACGATGAGAACGACGAACCGAAAGCGAAGAGGCTTCGTCGATGGAGCAGCAGTGCACCATCTTCCCCTCCATCTCGCCTCAGCGATGAAGAAGCGAACTTGCCACCGCCGCCGGTGCCGACCATGAGTGAGGGACCGACCCAGCAGACCGAGCCAGCGCCGCCGCGCCGGCGCCTCCGCCGTCACCGCCACCCCGAGCTCCGTCGGCAGCGTCTGTGTCGCCGGCCGCCACCGGACTACCGCGTGAGAGCCAGGCCGAGGCCGGCGGGAGAGTAGAGGGCGAGGGCGAGAGGGCAACGGCCGAGGTGAAGCTGCTGGACGCGAAGGAGCGCAAGATCGCGGCGCAGCGCCAGCTGATCCAGGCCACGAGGACGTGCGCAGGGCTCGCGCTCACCTCCTCGCTTTACCCTCTTCTTCCCTGTAACCACCCACGAGGTCAGACCTGAATGAAGGCAGAGTGAACCGGACCCACTTCGTCGCTCCCCTTTTTGCTGGGTATTCGTTCTTTGCTTGTCGCTCTTTGCTCTTCGCTCTTTATCTTTTCTTCAGGCCCCTGTGGCGGGTGCCCTCACTGCCTTGGTGTATGAACCAAAGAAGATGAACCTTACGGGAAAAGATGAAGTCGCAAGATCGCCGCCAATCTTCGATTGACCTATCAGTCGTAATTCCATATTCAGGAAGGAAGTAATCTTAACGTCATCATGCAAGATTGAAGATCCACAGCAGTGCTGCGACGTACGTCCGCCCTCTTGCTCTGGAAATCCACATTCACAAAAGCAACCCCCCCCTTAATACCTCCGTTTTTTTTTTAATTATATTTTTCTTTTCGAACCTTGCAAGGCAACGGACCAGTTTCCTTTTGCGGTTTTGGTCCACGTTTAGGTTTAGGTTGTTCGGCGACCTCGCTGCTCAAAAGAGAAGTCGTCGTTTTGCTACGAGTCAGTCAGCTCAACTCAAGTGACCACCTCTGCCCACTCCACAACAAAGTCTTGAACCGCAAGAGTAGCGGTGTGAGCGAGATGGACGACAACATCCAGTTCAAGATCAATAATCCAGACATTGCGGTCACCAGTCTGCGCATACTCGGCGCGCAGCAGTTCCTGACCGCCACCGAGTCAACGCAGGTAACGTTCCACATCCCCTTCTCCCGCTCTTCTCACGTTGCGCTCTATACCCCCTGTGGTTTGGCTTTTGTCGCAATCCAGCTGTACAAGATTGAGGTGAGCACCAGCAACGGTAACTACATCATCCACCGCACATTTACCGAACTCAAGGACAGGCATGCAGTGGTAAGTCAACGTTGTACCATGCCTCTCTGCTCCATCTTCACCCTTGTCCAGCTTGAACCATCTTGTTTCCACACAGTACACACATTTTACATTCGCTGTTCGTTATGCAGCTCAAGGAGTGTTTCCCCAAGGCCAAGTTTTCCAAGTTCCCCGTGCAGCTGTTCTCTCACCTGGTCAAGGGTTCCAAACTGGTACTTTGGCGCGTGTGCGTTGTGCGGTGCGTTCATGTTGCGAGCGCCATGCGGTGCTGACCTCGAGCTTGATGTCGTCGTTGTACCACAACAGGAAAAGCGGATAAAGAAGATTAACGATTGCCTCGCCTCATACGTCAAGCACGCCGCTAAGGCCGCGCCGTTCCGTGACTTCATCACACCCAGGGTGAGTCCCCAGGAGACCCGCCGCCACTCCTTCACCCAGTCGTTGGTGACACTTCATTTTCTTACACACGTCCGTGCAGCCCTTCCAGTTTCATCTGCTCCACGTGAGCGTGCTCCAGGGCCGCAACCTCGCTGCCCGGGATAACAACGGTATTCATTGCTTGCCCACGCACTGTATGTGTATGGAGCCTTCAACTCGCCTTGTCACACACACGACACACGACACCACACACACACACATCACCGCACACGTACACGCAGGCAAGAGCGATCCCTTTGTCCGCGTGTCTATCGTGGATGAAGAAGACAAAGTCACCGGCAAGAGCGTCAAGACTGAGACCATCAAGGGCACCGTACGTATTTTTTTTTGCCATCATTCCTCTTTCTTTTGGTTCGTTACCCACCAACCACCGTACCTGTCTCAATTCTTCTCATGACGCAGCTCAATCCTGTATGGAAAGACGAAGATTTCACCTTGTACGTACTACTCCTTCCCACCTCTTCTCCCCTCGCCCCTCACGTCCACCACAACCCAACCGCTTTCGCGATTCATGTGATCTGCGCACACCACAGCGACTTGTCCGATCAAGTGGGTGCGGTCACCTTCTCGCTCTGGGACTGGGATCGGGCGTCACGCAACGATTTCCTGGGCCGTGTCACCCTGAAGAAGGACGACATCCCCTTCAACAAGTACGCGCTCCCCTTGGCCGCCGTCTTGCTGGGTTCTGACAAGTGAACGCAAACACCAACATTCTTCATTCTTTTGCACCCGGAAGGGAGGTGCTGCGTTGGTTCCCGCTGTACCGCACCAAGGCCAGGCAGGGCGACGTCGTCCACGGCGAGCTCCTCCTCCGCATCCACCACGTCGTACGTGTTCTCTTTATCCAAACAATATCGAAACTTTACGTTAATTGCAATTGCAAACAAAACACACACTTGTGCAGACGTCCAAGACCGGCGGTATCAACCTGGAGCCGAAGCGTAGCGAGGAGGAGGACATTGAGGCCATCCAGCAATGCAAGTAAGTTACCCACATCTCGCTCAGCTCAGACCACCGCGCAGAAGTTGTGATGAACTTTTCTTCGTCTCGCTCACATCGTGTCATCGATCACCGCCACCATCACACACGAACCCAGGGCCGAACGCCTCAGCAGGCAGGAGAAGAAGGAGAAGGAGCGCCCCGCGGGCAAGCTCCATCTCTCCATTCTCTACAATCCGCCGCTGGGCAACTGGGACGGCTACCTCACAGTCAACGGTACGGCTTGGCCCATAGAGAGGGGCGAGTGCAACGTTGGCTGAGTCTCAGTCCACTGAATGGTGCGGTGTGCACGGCATGGCCCACACCAGTCATCGAGGCGAGCAAATTGCCAGCCAAGGATCGCAGGGGCACTTCCGATCCGTACGTCGTGCTGTCGCTCGCGGGCAAGAGGTACCAAGAACCACACACACTTCCGGAACAACAAACAACAAACAACAACACTCAATCGGTGACTCCTGCACAGGTACCGTACCAAGACCGTCAAGAGGACCACCACGCCCGCTTGGAAGGAGGTATTATTTATTAGCCTCTCTTGAATTCTTGTAACGCGACATGGGCAGTTTCCTATTTGTTTGTTTTGTTTGCTCATTTACACCACCGGCCCCATCCAGACGTTCTACTTCTACGTACCGCACGACCAACTGAGCGGGCTTCGCTTCGAGATGGACGCCTACGACTGGGATGCTGTCAGTACGTTACCATATTGGGTGCTAATGGGGTAATACGTATCTGAAACAATGGGGTAACATATACGAAATGAATGTATACAGGTGCTCGCGATCTCATCGGCGACGCCGTGCTGCTGGTGGAGGAGATGGAACCGGGCCTGGTCAGGGACATGTGGGTCAACCTGGTCGGTCCGGCCCCCACCCAGAAGGGCCTCCAGAAGAAGCTGGGCAAGAACATGGCCGAGGAAGGCTGGGCACCCAAGCTGCCCATTGTCATCGTGCCGGTACCCTGCGAGGGTTTTCATTCATTCATTCACTCACTCACTCACTCATTCACTCATTCACTCACTCACTCACTACAAACATAGGATTTGGCTCGACTGGACTCGAGGTCATCGAGGGCTACGAGAAGTGGAAGGGCGAGCGCGTGTGGCTATCTATCTCCAAGATCGGAGGGCAGGCTCTGTCGATCAGGTCTCGCCTTTCTCTTTCTCTCTCTTCTTTCCTTTTTTCTCCCCCATTCTAACACACATAGTTGTTGGTTTGTTTTTCTTGTTTTTTTGTTTTGATTGTTCGTGCTACCTCCATAGGCGCCAGGTCCAGCAGCTGAAGGCAGCGAGAAAGCTGGCCACTGTGGGCAGATCCGGCGGTATGGGCGCATCGAGCGCGGGGGAGAACACCAACCCTCAGCTCACCGCCGAGGACATCGCCTTCAAGGTCTCACTCTCACTCTCACTCTCCCTTAACCCTTTCTCTCCACCTGCCAGCCGTTCCGACCGTGCCACCATGCCACCATGCACTCATATACACGTCGTTTCCTTTCCTTTCCTTCTCTTTTCCCGCAACTTTCCTTGACAGAACCGCTGGATTGCCCACATCAGCTTGGGACCCGACGGTTACTCGGATCCCGACAGTACGTGCACCCACCACCCCCATTTCTCGAGAGTGGCGAATCAATCATCATTCTTGTGTCCGCTCACGCCGTCGACGTCGCCGTTGCGGCACATTCGCGTATGTCAGCCATCAAGGTGCGCCCCGTGAAGGGCATGGACGCCGTGACCTACCTCGACCCGGGCGCTCTCACCTCGCCCCTTTCCTACGTACGCGAGCCTCCGCTATATCACCCGTTTACCGATCAATCAATCAACTCTGCAGCCCACCCGAATCGTTGTTCTCATCGTGTGTGTGTGTGTGTGTGTGTGTGTCGTGTCGTGTCGTGTCGTTGGTCGTGTCGTTGGTCGTGTCGTGCGTCGCCCCGTGTGTCATGCGCTGCAGGTGCTCGGGCCGCTGATCAACAACTTGCAGCAGCTGGGCTATGCCTATGGCAAGAACCTTCTCGCCGCCGGTGTACGTTATTCACATTCCTCATTTCTCTCCGAGCCAATTCATTGGCGCTCGCTCGCGTCTTTGACTTGACCCGACTTGACCGCCCCCCCTTCCTGCAGTACGATTGGCGCCTGCCGCCGCACCAGCTGGAGATTAGGGACCGGTACTTCACCAACCTGAAGCAGAGCATCCAGGACATGTCGAAGGACTACGGCCCGGTCGTGCTTGTGGGCCACAGCATGGGCAACCGCGTGATCCAGTACTTCCTCAACTGGGTCATGCAGAACGACCGCTACGGCCGCAAGTGGATCGACGACAACGGTAAGCAGCTGCGCTTCAATCTTCGTTCTTTCTTCGTTCTTTCTTCGCCTTTCTTTCGTCTTCGCTCTTTCGTCTTCGTTCTTTGTCTGACGACGAGAGGGCCAGTGCACACGTTCATGGCGGTGGGCGCGCCGTGGCTGGGCGCGTCGAAGGCCATTCGTGGCCTGGTGACGGGCGAGAAGTTTGGCATGGACGCCTTCCTCAACGACAACGAGGCCATCACCTTCTCGCACCGCATTGGTACCACCAACCTCCCCAACTTCAGCGCGCCGATCAAGAATGTTGTTGCCCTGCAACTCTCAATTGAAGAATGTTGTGTTGATTTACTACTTTAATAGCGTCGACCGCATTCCTGCTTCCCGTGGGTCTGGAGGACAAGCACCACCACCTGCCCGCCGATTTCGGGTCCTTCACTTTCCTGGTACGCAATCCTTCCTACATTGGAAGGATTGCGTAGAGAATGCACACTGCACCTTACATTCCTTCCTATATTTCTGTGTGTAGCATGACGATCGTGCCGACGAGGCCAGACCCGTGCCCTACCGCGACTTCCTGGTCAAGGAGGCCGACGCTGTGGTATTCTGCTTTTATTTATTTATTTATTTATTTGTTAGATTATTATTAACAACGCTCACCTCGGCAATCGACCACGCTCAGCGTCCGATGACGATGTGCGAGGAATACCTGATGAAGAATCCGCTCTTCGGCGGCTCTGTCGGCGACGAGTACATCCTCAAGGCCCCGCCCGTCAGGAGGCTCTACGCCATTTACGGTACTACACCCGTGCGCCGCCGTGTGCGCCGTGTGCGCCGTGTGTGTCGTGTGTGTCGTGTGTGTCGTGCTGATGGGGAACGCACTAGGAATCAATCTGGACACGGAGATCGGGTACGTGTTCAAGAGGGAGAAGTCCGGCAGCCTCGCCCTGGACGACAACTCGCCCCCGAGCAAGAATGGCCTCCAAAACGACGGCTTCGTCTTCAAGAAGGGCATCGTGTACGAAACCAGCAAGAGCAAGCAGGGCATCGTCCGCGAGATGACCGGCGTCGACGGATTCACCTGCGGCGACGGCACCGGTACAGTCACACCGCCGCACCACCACCGCCGCAGCGCCGCACGTGGTGTTGACGTGAGCGTTCTCTTTTGGTCGTAGTGTCCTACTCTTCGCTGAACCATTGCGCGCGCTGGAGGAACGACATCCCGCAGCTCACGATCGAGGAGCTCGACGGGGCCGAGCACCGCGAGGTCCTCGCCAACAGGCTCTTCTTCAAGTATACTTGGCTACCTCCTCAACTGGCTCAATCTTCGTGGCATTTAATGACCATGCGGTGCTAACACACATTCCGCAACATTCTTTACACAATTGCAGGAAGATGATCGAGTACGTGGCCGAGAAGGTCGCCGTTGCCAACATGGCCGACCTCGGTATGTTGTTATTATTATACTCCATTCTTACATCAACGCAAGTCAGCGCATTGGAAGTAATTTATTGTCAAAACTCACGTTGACATTGCCAATCGTTCGATTGCAGGCGCGCTGGCGCACAGGCTGGGCATCAAGGCTGAGTCCCTCCTGCCCGACATCTCCGACGACTCCGAGTGCGCCGTGGAGAACGCCTGATCTACATAGACCACCTCTCACCGTCCAGTGGAATTCAAACACACTCAGCACATGGCGTGACCAGAATTCGCATATTAATTTTAACGCAAGCACGAATCGGATTCTTCTGAAGAAGTTCCCTGTGCCTGTCTTTCTCTTCTACAACCCTACACCGACCGAGAGTGAGTTAAAAAAAAAGATGGAACAGGAGCACGAGCGCACCTACACCGAGGCCGACCTGCTGGCCGCCTTCCACTCCCATTTGTCCAGGTGAGTTGACCTCGGGGCCATGCGCTACCCGTGTATTATTTGAACCAGAGCTGACTCCCCCTCTACCACACACCAAAGAGAGGAAGCCGAGGCTCTGCTCGTCGGTCAGCCCGCGGGCACTTTTCTGGTGCGGGAGAGCCAACACAACCCCGCAACCACCGACCCTGCGCACCAGAAGGACAGCTCGACGTCGGCCCTCCTGGTGCTGTCCTATGTGGCAGGCACTGGCGGTAGCCGGGCGAGGCGGGCTTGAGGTGCGAGCACACGCAGGTGAAGCTGCGGACCATGTCCAAGGTCGAGGGCTTCTTCTTCGTCCGCCAACCGGGCCGGGTGCGGCCATCGCTCTACGCGCTGCTCAACCGCATGTCGGCCTTCCGCTTCCCGCTACGCGCCTCGGCGCCATCCATCGCCGCCGCAACCACATCAGCGGTTGACTCCATCTTCCCCCCATCCCATTCACGCGTCAACCGAATGCTCAGAAACGCGTCGTGTGCCGTGTGCCGTGTGCCGTGTGCCGTGTGCCGTGTGCCGTGTGTGTGCCGTGCACAACAGAACGAGGAAAGAAACGAATCAACGACAGGGAGCCCTCTGTTGGGCCTTCTGGTGGACGAGCTCCTGCTGGCCGTCTTGGCTCACCTTTCGCCCTTCGACCTGGTGCTCCTGTCGCTGGTCAGTCAGTCTCTCTCTCTCTCCAGCTCCCCCCAACGACGCCAAGTGCCACTTGAGATCGCAGCTGACGGGGCGAATTTATGAACCGTCGACAGGTGTGCAAGCAGCTCTACGTGCTGTCGAAGGACGACACGATCTGGCGACACAAGTACTGCAGCGAGTTCGGGGCGTGGGTGCCGCCGGTGCAGTGCAATCCCACCAATGGTCTCAGCTGGAAGCTCAAGTACTGGTTTGAGTACAATCTCGTACAGCACACACGACACGACACTCGACACGACACGCACGACACGACACGCACTGTAACGATTGGCGCACACACAGTTCTATCGCTCGCCCGTCGAGTCGACTCCCTTCGTGTTCAGTAGGCTGGAGGCTGAGGCCAAGGAGCCCCAAAACAATGAGACCTTCGTCCGCTACAGCGACACCCACCCCAACGCCCTCGTGCTGAGCCACAAGATCCTTACCGAGGACTCTGACCCTTTTGGCTTTGGCCTGTGTACGCCTCCTTCCTTTGCTCACTACTTATTAAATAAAAATAACAAAACAATAAACGATATCAAGCATTTTACTTATACATATATATTTACTTTTTTATTTTGGGCTGTGCAGCTGCGAACACAGATGTCGGCCAGGGCAAATCGCTGGTCTTCCGGGTGCAGTGCGGCGACAAGGTGGGCTACTCCCTTCACCAACACCCGAAGAAACCGTGCATGGTGCACTCTAGTCTGGCGTCGCTCGTGTGTGCGGCGCGGAACTTCCCCCAGTGGTCCGTCTTCAGAAGGTAAACTCAACACACACGACACGACACACGCCACACGACACACACGACACGCACTCATACATTCATTCCACACACCGCAATAGTACGCCCCTGTTGTGTCAATTGCGCCTAGCAGCGCTGGGCCACATCAGGGAACTGGTCTTTGTGTCCTCCACTCCGCGCGAATGGCACCAGCTCGCCTCCGTCGTGACCGCCGACCCACCCCACCTCCGATCGCTGGTCGTCCGCGCCAGCTACGCCTTGTCGGCGATATCCCGCTCCGTACTGCAGCGTATCGCAACGGCGAACCAGAGCCTTCGGTGCCTCTGTCTTCGTGGCCTCGGAGACCTCAACGAAATCCCAGATATCATCAGTACGCTCCCGATATGCTAGTATTGTCCAAAACAAACTTATTCTTAATTATACTGATGTAACATTTGCAGGACAACACCCCGGATTGCGCGTGCTGGCGTTGGACATCAGTACGTGTTGTCGCACACACACACACACCACGCCCGCGCGCACACGCACACTAACTTGGGCGAGCAGAGTCGCACTGCACGCCCGGCGCACTGCACGCTCTGCTCGAGGCCCTCGCGCACAGTCGCTCATTGCAGCGCGTCACGATCAACTTTCGTGCCGCTGCGGCTGGTTCAGTTGCCCCGCTCGGGCAGTCGCTCAACTTCTCGACGCTCCCCGACCTCCTCCGCGCCTGCGGGCTGCAGGTGGTTAAGGTGGTTATCTACGGGGTGCCGGCGCCGATCAAGGCCCAGATCGACCAGGCCGTCGCCCAACGGCCCGACCGACCCAAGGCGGCTGCAGTAGCCGACCACCATGTGCGCTTAAAGGTGGTCACCACGCCGGCAAAGCCGTGGCGGTCGCCGTACAGTGCAGCAAGCAGTGCAGCAGCAGCAACCAACCTGCGGGGCGGTGCATAGCGAGTCGGTCGGAGGCCAGGTCATGGCCGACACCGCCTACGTGTCCGGCCTCGATCCCTCTGCTCGCCAGTACCAGTTCGATGACATGCTCACCCGCTGGCGTCATGGCAACAACTGAATGTTTTAATCAAAAAAAAATCACACCCAGGGCGCTAGCATCGAGTTTTTGAAAAACAACATTGCTTTGTCCAACCTTGGGTAGCAGGCAACACATGGCCCACCACCCTACACCCCCAACATGATCACCACAATCAAATCCCACTCCACCTCTCACACACACGCCCATGCACACACGCACACTAACTTGGGCGAGCAGAGTCACTGCACAGTCGCTCTTTGTGTTTTATCAGTTGTACCCAGAGCGGTGATAAAACACAAATTTGATTCCATTTTGATGGATGTGCAAGAGCTCTCGGAGGAGCTTCTGGTGAACGTGTTTCGGTGGCTCGACCTGCCCTCGCTCTGTCGTGTTGCTGCCACCTGTCGTGTACGCGCTCCACCTCCGTACCACTGCACCTCTACTCACATCTTTGGGGGGGGGGCAATATCGCTACTACTTGAGCAGTCTTTTTGGCAGGTGTCGGCGGATGACTGCTTGTGGCGACCCTTCTACACCGCTACACCCCTCAACCCGTGGTGGCAGCCCTACCAGGCCGCCTCAGCTCCCGCCCTGAAACGACGTACGCAGAGAGGTCCTCCTGAGCGCAAGCGCCATGCTGACACGCCGCGGCATCTTTGTTGGGAGGGGGCGTGGGAAGGCCCTGAAGATGGGGCAGCAGCGATCGTCTCCCTGCGCGAACGGTACGCGGTCCACGCTCGCGCTTCCAAACTTCTCCAGAAGCACGCCACGGCCGAGGGTACCACCCAAATTATATAAAATTATTATAATAATAATATTTAATAATATTATTATTATAATAAGTATAAATTATTGTTCTGGCCGTTAAGATTGTAATAGCATGACTCACGTCTTGTGACAGGCCGAGTTGAGTTGCGTGCTATGATTGTGGGAGGCAAGGAAGTGGGCAAGCACGCGCTGGCACACATACTCCACCAGTACGTTCTCAACACACTTCACAAAGCGCACCCGTGCGCTGACATTGCACTACCGTCACCATTATCATCATCATCGTCGTCATCAGTCGGTTTAAGGGCGTGAGCCGCCACATCTGTCACAAGGGCTGGATGCATTCCGATGACGACGACGATGAAGAAGGTGGGAGCAGGTGGTGGGACAACAAGGCCGACGATGACTGGACCGTCGTGGGACCCTGCCTCGAATTCGGCGACGCGCTCGTGCACGTCACCACCGAAGTCGCTACGCTGACCCCCACCAACCAATCAACCACTGACAAAGGTAACACACGCACCGCACACGCACCACCGCACCCAACTCCGCACACGTACACAGCCAGCTGATATCACGGCGACAGAGTCCGGTGTGGTGGATGGCCTGCAAGAGGTGCAGATCGTGCGGATGGCGGAGTGTTTGGCAGTACGTCCGGACGTGGTGGTGCTCGTCTTCGCCGTGACCGACGCAGCTTCCATCCTCGCAGTGTCTCGCCAGGTACACACCGCCAGCACCTCACATACGACACGACACGACACGACACGACACGACACGACACGACACGACACGACACGACACGACACGACGCTCGACAAGAGTATTGCACTAACGTCGCTGGCGCACAATTTCCAGATCATGCCGGCGATCAGGAGGGAATACAACCACCTGCCCGTTCTGCTGGTGGGCACGCACATCGACCACCGCACGCCCACGATTGGCTGCTTCACTCACGACCAGGCACAGACCACCCCACCAGATATATTAATTTTGTATTAATTTTATATTATATAATATGTTAGTATTTTTTTCATATAATAAGCTGTTTTTTCGAGTACTAAAGGTGATGTGTTACCAGGCGGTTGCGCTGTGTCACCGGATTGGCGCGTCCAACTACGTCGATGTGTCGGTGTATGAGGTGGTCGGTCTCGGTGCCACGCTCAAGGAGATCATCGAACTGGGTGCGCTTCTTCCTTGCTCGCAGTGCCGCATTTCAACCCACTAACACCTCGCCACACGGCCCACGCACGACACACACACACACACGACACGCACGACATTACTGCATCTAGCTATTCGGTCCAGCATGCAACAGGCATTGCAGCCAGAAAAGGACCTGGCGGAAGAGACACTCCGCTTTCGCAGCCCACGTGTGCCCGACATGTTGGACACAATCCCTTCCATCCACTACCGCCTCAGGTACTCACCCACCAAATGTTTGGGTTTATTATCACATAATCATTTTATTACAAATAATAATAATACTAAAAAATAAAACTAATAAAAGAAGTATAACGAGGCACACATTCCACCATTCCACATAGGTGCCTCCGCTGTTCGGCGATGCCGATCGTGGGCCAGGCCTGGGGGTGCAAGTCGTGCGGTCACACCGAACAGGGACCCATGTGCTCCTCCTGCAAGCGCGACCACATACAACGCAAGGTACTTTCTTGTTCGTGGCCGCCCACTCCCGTCTTTCCCTGCTTCGCTTCTTCATTCTTCGTTCTTCTTCGAAGGTGGAGCACAGGGTGGTGCCCTACTCGGCCGAGCGAAACAACAGAGGCGTCAAGCAGAAGGCCGCCAGGCAGCTGCTGGACGCAACCCAAGAAGGCGAAGGCGAAGGCGAAGGCGAAGGCTCGGCCGGCGATGACGGCAGAGATCGCGTTGTTGGGGAGGTCGACCAGCAGCTGGCGCGGGTGGGCTTCAGCCACCGCAACAGTCGATTCTTCCACCACCACCGGGGTCATCACCACAAGCGCCAGAGGGTTGATCACCGCCACCAAGCCAGCGAGAAGGAGAAAGGCGTGGACGAAATCTTCCAGCTCTTCTCCAAAAGAAATTGATTTTTTAATATAATATATATAATATTAAAATTGATGTTTACAGAAATATATTGACGACGAGTTCCTTGCCGCAGCCCCTTGCGCGCAACAGGAGAAGGGCCAATTGGCCCACTGCGCGCTCGCCTACCTTCCTCGGCCCAGCGCGTGGCCCTGCCCTCTACAGCGCTCTCCCCGTGGTGCTCTCCCCACGCACGGGGATAAGAGATGAAAACCATGCCTTGTGCACGACATGGTTTTCCAAATAAGGACAAACGAAAAGTTGTTTTTCCTTCCTCTCAATTTCTGCAGCCAGCCTTTGGTGTTGTCCCAAAACGAAGGTATCTCATTCGTTAAACTCTCTCTGAGGCAAATCACATTTCTGTGTAGTGGTGGCTTGTGTTGTTGTTGTGTGTGTGTTGTGTGTGTTGTGTGTGTTGTGCATGAGTGTGTTGTGAAGATTCTCTCGAGACGAGAAGAATTGGGGAGAGACGGAATGATGAGCGCTCATCACATATGTGGCGGTGGTGGTCGTCGTCGCCAGCACTCAGGCCCGGTCGAGCGACACCGCGTTGCGTCCGCGCATGCGCTTCTTCCGGGCCTCCTCCGCCCGCATGGCGAGCTCCGGCGCCAGGTAGTTCATGTCGTTCATGAACGCCGTCGACGCCGACACCTGCCGTCGTCTCGTCGTCGACGCCCCGTCCCACTCCCCACTCTCCCATTCGTCCACCTCAGCCGACGCCGACTCCGACGCCGACGCTGCGTCGCCGCCGCCGGCGCTCGTCATCTCGTCTGATGTGGTGGGCGTGATGGGCGTGATGGTGGTGGTGGCGGCGGCGCCGGCGGCCAGCTCGGCGGTCTCCTCCTGCTGTCGTCGCTGCTCCTTGTAGTCGCTGGCCACCTTGTCGAGCGAGCGCGGCAGCGATTTCTTTTTCTTGAGCCACTTGCGCGTAATGCCGCCGCTGCCGCCGGTGCTCTGGTCGTCGACGCCGGAGCCGATGTCGCCGCAGCTGCGGCTGGGCGTGGCAAGGGGCGACGGGTGGTGGCGCCCGGCGCCGACGAGGAGGAGGTCGGCGCGCGAAGAGTCGTCGGCGCTGTGCGCTCGCTCCTCGCGCACGACACTGAACGCCTTGCTCCGCTTTTCGCCCGACGACTTGAGCTCCCGGTTGTCACCGCTGCTGGTCTTGCTGCTCTTGTTACTCTTCTCTCTCTTTCCATCGTGATCGTTTTCATTCTTATCGCCGTCGCCGCTCTTCTCTCTTTGCGTCTCGGCCTCCTTGTCTCTTTCGTTCTTTTTTTCGCGCTGTCGCGGGCTGACGAGCGCGTCGAGCCGGGCCTCCTTCTGGAGCCGCGGGCTCAGCAGCAGTATGTCGCCCTCGCTCCCGAACACCTTCTGAAGCTTGAGCTGCGTCCGCTCCTGGCGCCGGCGCGCCTCCTCCTCCGCCCGGATCTGCTCCATCTTCTGGGTCCACACCTCCTCCTGCTTCTTCCTCCGATCGGCGTCCTCCAGCTTTCGCTCGTGCCGCGTCTTCTCCTGCTCCTTCTTCAGCTTGAGGTACTCTGCGCGTCGCACACACAAAATTAGAACGACACACGACACACGACACACGACACACGACGCACGACGCACGACGCACGACGCACGACGCACGACGCACGACACACGACACACGACGCACGACACACGACACGCACGCGTGCACGACACGCACCGTCTTGGGTGATTTCGATGACGTAGTTCTTGGGGAATCGGCCCTGGTCGGTGGACGAGGGCTCCATGATGCGCACTCTGCGTGTGTTGGACTCTTCGCTGGTCTCGCCGCTCTCGCCCTCTTTCATGCCCCACCACCAGGCGCCCTCCTTCTTGGTGACCAAGAACACCTGCCAACAATTTATTTATTAGTTTAGGATTTATTTCTTTATTTATTGAGTTATTAAAATGCAAATAATACAAATTGGTCATGCATAAATATAATTTTATTGGAAAAAAAAAGAACGAAAATGTAAACAAAGCCGTGCTTGGTACCTCGTCTTTGTCGAAGCGCAGGTCGCCGGTGTCCATGCCCGTGAAGGCGTACTTGGCCTTGGCGAAGGCAAGCATGGCTGGTCTGTAGGGATGGTTGTGTGGTCGTTGGAAGATGAAATAGATCAGAGCGTAAGTTGCTTGCGACAGATGCCACCGTGCCGCAACTCAGTTCACAGTTCACGTAAATAAAAAACGCCAAAAGATTGAGCTCGAGATTTTGTTTGCATCAATGAGTGGTGATGATGAGATCTTGCGCGATTGAGCTTGTCCCAGGCACGAAATTGATCGTTGAGCAAACAAAAAAGGCAGAAATCGCTCAAATGAGGGATGATGATTTTGGCGTACCGATGGTGATTTCGAACAGATGTAGAATGGTGGAAGCTCTACCACCGAAAGTCGCCAAGCACCCTCGCGTTTCCGCTGCTTGAGGCTCACAACCCGCTACCTTGCGCCTGACCACTGCTTGCCTGCCTGGGGTGTAGATGCACAGCGCCACCGGAGCGTAGAGCGTGCTTGGTTCGCACCGCCGGCGGAGCACTAAGTAGACAAACCAGTTGAACCACCGCCTCGGGTTGATGAAGCTTGTGGCGGAGCTCTTCTCAGTTGTGGGAAAGAGAGGCAATTCCAACACAACAACATCATCAACCCAGCGGTTTGGTGGTGCACGTCACCGATGATGACGCCAAATAGCGCTGTACGAGCCACTCAGCGGCGTGGACAAACCTGCACATTCGACGGCAGGCGCTGGCAAGTTGAGTGGACCACATTAAGGCGATGGCTGACGTCAGCCGAGGAGATCAGCACAAATTCGAGTAGTAGCCCGAACACTCGATCTGTTTCATCGTCAATAGTGCTTCTAATCACCATCATGAGCTACACCACCAAGGCTGAAGGTCAGGAGAGCACCCTCGAGTACAGGCTCTTCTTCGGTGCGGCATCCTACTCATTTTTCTGCAAAAATTATTATGAAATCGACATGTAATGCGAGTATACTCGCCTCACCCACCTGCATCTGCACGATCCCGACTCACGAATTGTCCCTCTGCATGCAGAGAAGGATGGTCAGAGGGTCTCGCCCTTCCACGACATCCCCCTCGCCGTCGATGCGGAGAAGGGCATCTTCAACATGGTTGTTGAGATCCCCAAGAACACCAGGTACCTTTACGAAGATTAAAGCCCCCTTCCCTTGAGCCTGATTTAATCAAAAAATGCCACTGCCGTTCAGGGCCAAGCTTGAGATCAGCAAGGAGGAGGCCTTCAACCCCATCAAGCAGGACGTCAAGGTACGAAATTTGCTCAACTCAGTCGCAGATCGCAAATTATAATTTATTTTGTGCGCATTCTTACAATTTGCAATCCTGTCTTCACAGAACGGCAAGCTCCGCTTCGTCGAGTACGGTGAGGGCTACATGTGGAACTATGGTGCCTTCCCTCAGGTGAGAGATCTTCTTTCCCATCATTAGTCTCATTTGCTGACCACGGTCGTCGCGGATGGGCTTCATCGCGTTGCGCGTCCTAGACCTGGGAGGACCCCTCGCACAAGCACCCCGACACTGATGCCTTCGGCGACAAGGACCCGCTCGACGTCTGCGAGATCGGCAGCGCCGTTGCCAAGACTGGTGACGTCAAGCAGGTCAAGGTGCTCGGCGCCATGGCTCTCATCGACGAGGGTACGTTTACGCTGATTAACGACTCGTACTCTGGTGGAGATGTTGAACTCGGTCGTGGTGTTACACCCGCAGGTGAGACTGATTGGAAGATCATCGCCATCGACGTGAACGATCCCCTCGCCGAGAAGCTCAACGACATCGACGATGTAGAGAAGGAGATGCCGGGCTACCTCCACGAGACCTACGTGTGGTTCAGGGACTACAAGGGCGCCAACGGCAACAAGTTCGCCTTTGAGGGCAAGGCCAAGCCCAGGGTACGCCCGCTCTGCCCACTCTCTAAGCCCATCAGCCCAAATCGCAGGCCACGACTTCTCGGGCTGCTTGCCTATGCCCCACTTCGACCTAGCAAGCACTCCTTGAAGGAGCCGCTAACTGACTATAACATGACCTTGTGCAGGACTATGCCCTCAAGATCATTGAGGAGAACAGCGCCTTCTGGAAGAGGCTCGTTGCGGGCGAGGCTGAGCCCAAGGGCATCTCCCTGTACGTCGTCCCTCTGGCCATTTTGGTGTTTTTCTTCTACCCGGCCTTCTTCTTCTCCTCATTGTGCACAAGATCACGTGCCGCACGTTTGCTTTTCTCTCAGGCCAGAGAGTGAGCACATGTGATTTATTTTCCTTGGCTGATCACTTCAACTTTCTCTGACATTCTCGTGCAGCGAGCGTGCCAGCCAGTAAGCCGCAAAACCTGCCCCGTGCTCTGCTGAAATGTATGGTGTTGTGCCCTTGGCCTTTTTCCCATAGACACAGTTTGTTTTGCGGGCATTGCGGGCGCGTTGGTTGGTTGGTTTTATAGAATGCCTTTTTGTTGGCTGCAGGTGAACTGAAATGACGACCCGTGAGTGGTCCCTTTAATTCCATGAAGGCCGTCATTGGTCGCTTCGGATATTTTTCTTCGGGTTGCTCCGGAGCGCAGCACCCACTCGGCATTTTAGGAAGGAGTGTGATCATTGCGTAATGGGCCGAGAGATGGAATGTTCGAGTCTCACGAGGAATTTGTGGCATGTGTGGGGTGCCGGGGCTCTCGCTTCTTTACCCGACCTTTATCATAATCGGCACAGGCCAAGCGCCCACAACCCTCCAGACTCCTCCAGCGAAAGTTGTAGTTTGGTTGCCGGCCCGCAACATCACTTCTGTTTTGGAAGCGCAGCGCGTGGCCAACACGCAAAAGCGAGAGAACAGAGATAGACGCTACCCAACACAACACAACAAAACGCCAACAGCACATCAAAGCGGCCAGGCCACGCGCACACAAGAGAGAAAGAGACCGGTCCTACGTCAACAGAGAGACCAGCACCACCGAGGTACCAGATAAAGCCGACGATCTGGCGAGCCGTCATTTCAGCTCATTTTGCCGCTACGACCAGAGCGACCACGACACGCGGCACCACTGAGCCCAACCAACCGCGACCACTGCACAACGATCGAGCCGCGCACACCGCGCCAGCCTCCGCCCGCCAGTCTCCAAGCGCCAGCAACCCGCAACACCAACAGTCCAAGAAGTAGGCGAGAGCTGATCCTCCGCCACCACCCAGCCGACCCACCACGACGACCGCCACCGAGCCCCTCCGCCTTCATCAACACCACATGAATCCATCGCCACCACCATCATCTTTGACAGCGCCGCTGCCCGCACACCACCGCCAGCCCAAGCGCCGAAGGACCACAGGTTCTCTGTCTGCCGAGGTGTCGACAACAAGTGATCATCTTCTCCTTCCGAGACACTCTTTGTCTTCTTCTTCGCCGGCAGCGGCGGCATCGTCAACTTCATCATCGGCGCCTCTACTTCTGCGTCAGCTGCATCCAAGTCATCATCAACATCAACAGGCCCATGGCCTAGAAAGGCAGCCTCCTCTTCAAGGTCGAATCCTTCTGCCGCCCCCTTCATCTTCCTCCTCCGCTCCGTCTTCTCAACAGCCGCACAGCATTACCACACTTCCACCTTCCTTCTTCCATCTTTCGTCGCTCAATCAATCCTTTCCTGCGTCATCATCTTCAACATCGTCCTCCACTACTCGCCAACAGTCCTCTCAGCCCCCTCTCCTGCCGCCCGCATCGTCCATGCTCGCCACCTCATTGTCATCGTCCTCCTCATCATCTGCCCGCCTGGCGCCGCTCGCCGTCGTCGGAGGCCCCACCGGCCCACACAGCCTCCGCCCCGTCGCCCAGTCGCGCCACCAATCGGCCTTCAGCCCCGCCTCGTCGCACCACCAGGCCCAGGCCCACCAGCCTCAACAGGCCTTCGTGCCGAGCTCCCCCTACTACTCGTCGATGTCGCTCGAGAACTCGTCGGCCTCGGCGGCCTGCGCGCTGTTGGTGCCTTTCCTGCAGGGTTCGGTCGGCCTGCCATTCCCGGCCTTCGCCGCGGCCCCGCAAATTTCAGGCCCGGGACTCGCGGCCCTGCCCTCTCCGCCGCAGATCTCGCTGGTCGGGTCCTGGGTGACCGCCAACGCCGCCCCGGCGAACACCGCACAGAGGTCGTCGACGAGCAGCGCACCCAGCTCGCCACAGTCTTGCGCGCCGACCGGTGGAGTAGCTCCTGCCACGGATGGCCTGACGCCGGCGTCGCTCATGACATCGGGGGCGCCCATGTCGCATCTCCTCTGGACCGTTGTACGTCGTTGTCCCCCGCAAGTCACCTCTCGTTCGCTCTTTTTTTAATGCGGCAAATAATAATCTTCCGCGTACATTTTTTCTGGTCACCATTAGGTCCAGTTGCTGGGTACCAAGATCGCCGGCCTAGCGGAAAAGGCTCTCGGCGGGGAGCTGGCCGACGGTGACCGGGTACGCATGCCCGGCTACCTTCACATGTTTTGGTGTTTGGTTGCCCTCTCTGGCTTTTCCATGTTTCCATGATTGGCCATCTTGATCGTGCGGCAGGCAGACCATGTCCGGTTAACTATAATGTTAACATAACGTTATGCAGGACCTGGCGTTGGCGCACATCGCCGAGCTGGCCGCCTATTCGCCCTATCTCAAGCTGATCAAGGACGAAGCCACCAGCGTCGGCACCACCACGACCGGCAACAAGCGCAAGGCCGCGGCCGAGCCGGAGCCCCACCCGTCCTCCTCGGCCACGTCATCTGCTTCTTCGCCCTCGTCGCCTTCACCGACAGACCAGTCGCCGCAGGCGCCGCGAGGACCGACCAGTCTGCGACAGGTCAAGCCCGAGCGCCGCCCGCGAAGCGTCAGCACAGGCGAGACCGGGCCGAGGGCCGCCGCCGACAACTCACAGTCAGCCGCGGCAGTCGAGGACGAGGTGATCACCGACGGCGTCGTGGGACTCCACCTCCTTCGCTCCGCCGGTTGCACTGCAGCCGCCAGTGCGTTGGCGTCGTCTTCCTCGTCCGCCTCGGCGCACATGCTCTCGCAGCTCTGCTCGACCGCAGACACGACATCGTCGTCTTCGTCGGCCGCCTCGCTGCTGTCGCTCTTCACCACGCCGTGGCCGTCGGCGGCGTCGTGCGGCTCATCGACCCTCCACCAACCCAGCGCCAGTCTCAGCGACCGACGCGCGACGAACTCGTCGGCCGACCTGCTGGCCGCGAGCGCCTCCATGGCGCTGACCAGCCTCGCCAGTTCGACGTCGTCGACGTCGGCTACGCGCACGTCCTCCTCGTCGTCATCGTCGCCAGTGTCGTCGCCCAAAGCCAACTCGCACGGCAGTGCGTCGCCGCCTCAGCACGACCTGTCGACCACCTGCGGCCACTCACCAGCCGCCGGCCGCAAGGTACTAAGTGGCGTCGCGCGTTCGTTGCTGGTTACAGAATTTGGCTGACCGGTCGCTCGCGCAGACGTCATCATGTGGTGGAGGTGGTGCGCGCAAGAAGCGATGCGCACACTGTGGCACGGGAAACTCGTCGGTGTGGCGCCGCGGCTACGACAACGTCAGGTACCAAACCGCACGCACGCTCATAGCGCACGCGCACACGCACACGTGCTCATTGATGATGGCTTCATGTGACGCAGGTTGTGCAACGCGTGTGGGCTGAGGTGGTCGCGCAACAAACGCAAGAGCGGGATCGACGATGAGAGGGCAGCGCGACGCACGCGCGGCGTACGCGTTCGCCGAAAGCCCGTCCAAACCAAGGAGGAGTTGAACGAAGACGATGAGGAAGACGACGATTCCGCGACGATGTACGACGCGTCGGAGGATGAAGAGAACGAGGAATGGCTGAAGAAGGAGGACTCCCCCAACAACGAAGACAGTCGCGAAGACATCGATGAAGAACAACCGGTTGCGCTCGCGGCCAGTCCACTGTAACATTCTTTTAAAAACTATGTAAATAGTCGAAAAATAGCTCTCGCCTCGGAGTTGCCCGGTTTTATTCTTTGAAAAAGGAAAAAAGTAATTATATATTTTGAATTTTTGAAAAAGCCCAAAATACCAATTAGGAAAGCTCCACGTTCGGCCGAGTGGCCACAAGACACGGTGCAGAGTTGTAGAGAAGAAGAAAAAGAAAAAGAGGAAGAAGAGGAAGGGGGGTGCGAGAGGAAAGATGCGAGGCCGGCCTCGACAATCTCACCCCTTCGGACTTGCGGTGGGGAGCTGCCTGGCACTGCTGCTGTACTACCACTACCTGCTGGGCGGTATGCCGGGTGTGATGGACTCCGGTGCAAGCCCAGGCCACCAGACTCTGGCCCCACCGGGGGGCAGCACTGTCAACTTAGCTTCTGTCGGGCAGCGGTCCGGCTACGTGCTGGGGACCATAGTGGTGGGCCTGGTCGACCAGAGCACCGTCGACTACGCGCTCAACTGGCTGTGCTCGTGGCGAGCCCGCTCAGCTGCAGAGGGTTCGGCGGTTGGTGTGGCCTTTGCCTGCGCGGACGCCGAATGCGAGCGACTGCTCGAGGCCGTGCCAAGCTCAGACTATGTCGTCATCTCGCTCGGCCGAGACGGCGACGGCATCGACCACCTGCTGCTCGGCGACGAAGAACATTGGAGCGATGATCGAACGGCGCTGCTTCACAAGTTGGTCTCCATGCGCCGAGACGGTGACGATGGAGAGCCATCGTCGGCCTATGTGCTGCTGTCGCGTTTCTTCAGGCTCGTGGGCGGCTTGGCGGCGCGCAGGTTCAACGTGGTGGTAATGAACGACATGCGCCAGGTGTGGGTCGGCAACCCGCTCGACTTTGTGCACACGCACCCGAACCGAGGCCAGATGGACGACCTGCAGACCATCGGCCATCCCACCCTGCGAGCCGAGCATCGCGTCACCTTCACCAACAGTACTCTTCCGCTCAGTGTCGTGTGTCGTGTGTCGTGTGTCGTGTGTATCGTGTGTATCGTGTGTGTCGTGTGTGTCGTGTGTCGTGTCGTGTCGTGTGTGCTGGCTCAACTTCTGAATGATTGTGGTATAGCAGTTGGGGCGATGAGATCGGCTCCTGCCGTGCATCCTTGCGGCGCTTTCGTTTACGTGGCCTGCGGCGATTCGGCCGTGGTGCGATTCTTCGACGGCTTGGCCCGCCAACTCGTGGAGGGCGCCACCGAGCGCACACTCGCCTCCATCGTGTCGCTCACCGACGCCCTGCCCGACCTGTGCGCCTTGGCCGACGTCGGAGCGCTCTCATCAGCGCTCAAGATGCGCAGCCTCGACCCTGATCTGTTTCACCCGGACTCGACTCAAGTCCTCCAGCGGCACCGGCAGCGGGCCTACCAGGCCCGGCCCATTCCCCTGATCCCGCCTGTGGTGGCCTACTTCCCACCCAGTGCGAACCGGGAAGGCATGGTGCGGCACGGCCTGTGGCTACTGGGCGAGGAGGGCCAGCCGCAGAGCTGCAGGGCGTTCGACGAGAGCGCCTGGCCAGTGCCCAACGCGCCGCCCGACGGCTCCGATGTGCGGATCGTCTTGAAAGTGCTCACCTACAAACGACCAGAAGCTCTTCAGGTAACATATATGTCCATCTTTACTCTCTTAGTATAACTAACCAATCACTCCTAACGTCACCGTGCTATGTTGTGCGTTTATGTTGAATATTGTCTATTATGGCCTATTAGCGATTACTCCAATCTTTAGTAGGGGCCGAGTACGACGGGGACGAGGTCAACCTGGACGTATTCGTGGACTACGACGAGCAACAGAACGCGGCGGTGTTACAGGCGGCCAAGCAGCTTGACTGGCCCCACGGGCGCAAGCGCATCTTTGACCAAGGCAGGAATGTGGGCCTCGCGTTCCAGTGGCTGGGCTCGTTTGTCGACTCGGCCTACGGGCCTGCCCCCGCCACCGCCTCCGCCGAGGGCACGTTGACACCAGACATGAGGGCCTTCCCGCTGCCGCCTCTCCCGGCCAAGCCCCTGCCCAACAACGAGTTCGCCTACATCATGGAGGACGACCTCGAGCAGTCGACCCAGTTCTACCGCTGGATCAAGCGCGCCATCCAACAGTACCACACCGACAAGCGACACTACACACCTCGGTACACTGCCAGCACACCATTACATATTACAAACTTATTGTTGGAACAACTCTGATTGGATGAATGGATTAGGATTTATGGCTTCACGACTCAGCAACAGTGGCTCGTCCCATGCTCGTACATACATTCATTACCTCCAACATACTTATATTTGTTTGTTATTACATTCTTATATTTGTTTATTGTTGTCTCAAAACACCAAAAACGACATCCAGAGCGCCAGGGTCGCTGCAGCTGCCGGTGTTCACCAACTCCACGCCGTTCTTCTACCCGCTGATCGGCAGCTGGGGCACGCTGGCCTTCCCCAAGCCCTGGGAGCAGTTCATCCATTGGTTCCGCCAAATCAAGGTTTGGCCCCAATCATTCAGGCCTGTGCCCCTCTCAAGGAATGCAAACTTCATCTTCACATATTCCTCCTGCACAGACGGCTGACCCGTCCTTCCAGCCCTTCATCGACAAGACCCTGCCCAGCAAATGGATGATCAAGAAGCCGGTACAAGCCACACTATGTATTACAATATATAATAACCAATTTATATATTATATGAAAATTGATACCAAGAATGCTGTGTGCAGATGCTATGGACCCCCTGGATCATCCGGTTCGCGGCGGAGCGAGGGTACACGAGCATGTTGGCCTCCTACGAGGGCCTGGTCTCCATGTCCATCAATCACCAGGAGGCGGGCTCAACTACCACAAGAAGGGCAAGTCGACGCACGAGCTCGTCACCACTTACGAGGAGGTCTTCTTCCGAATGCCGCCACCAGGGGTATAGATCTGCCCCCTTACTCCTTCTTCTTCTTCTTCCGCTGTTGAGCGGTAATGATGGAGGTGCAATCGCAGGACCTTCTGGCGGTCGACCTGTGCGCGGCCCCGATAGCGAACCTGCAAGAGCTGGACGGTCGCTATGATGCCCTCTTTGTGGATCACTAAGTGAACAACATCTCCTGAGTGCACATAATTTCCATTTCACAAAATCCTTCCACCCCTTCCTGCGTTGGCAGCAGCGCTCAGTTAGCTCAGCAGAGCCTTCACCTTTCAGGCCTGGACTGCGGATGCACACAATAAACAATAAATCTGATTCAATGCCAAACTCTGCTGAGCTCACTGAGCGCACATTTAGGCCTTGGGCAAGAGGTGGAGGTCGATGAGGGCCTGCTTGAGCACGTCCGATGGCTGGGCGTGGGCATTGAAGCAGAAGCCCAGCATCCCCAACTCGGACGCGGTGGCGATGTTCTCCTGCTTGTCGTCGATGAACAGAACCTGCGTGTAGGTGTAGAATAATAATTAAAATAATAAATAAATAATTAATAATTAATCGCGATAATATCTATAATGTAATAATAAAAATAACGCACCTCGGAGGCCTGGAGGTCCTCACCGAGCTCCTCGCGCAGCTTGGCGAGTGTGACCTCGTAGATGGCCTTGGCTGGTTTGGCTGACCTCACAGTTTGCGATACGATCACCTGGGGAATCGCGCAAGCAAGAGTGAGTGGAAACAGGTGTCATTTGAAGAAGCACCAAAAGAGCGGTAGAAGCCGCACCAAGTCCTTGTTGAAGACGTCATAGAAGCCGAACTTGGTGGCAATCTGGTCCAGCCACTGCATGATGTACAAAAATAAATAAATAAATAATAAATAGCACTAGCTAGTGAGCAATCGGTTGGGCGTGTCACGTGCCTCGGCGGAATGGTTCGAGCAGATGGCGATGGCCACGCCCGAGGCCTTGACCTGCTTCGCCAGCTCGAGGCACTCGGTGTAGCAGTAGTAGCTTTCCTGCAGCATCTGCTGCAGCTCTTCCACAGGCTCTCTCACCTGCTTTACTGTTATGTTTTGTGCGTGTGCGGTGGTGTGTGTGTGTGCCGTATGCGTGCATGTGTGAGCTCATGCCAGAGTTCAGTGCAGTGACTGGAGCGTACCCATGGTCTTGAAGTCCTGCCAGTAGTCGGCCTCCTTGTATTCGGGCATCGACTTGATGTTGTTCCAGTACCTGTAGCACGGTCCTGGCGCGCGGTCAGGCCCCTTGTGGCAGTACCTTTTGCGTTTCGTGCGTGTTGCGTGTGGCATTTGTGTGTGTTTTTTTTGTGTAGCGTGACACGAACGTGACGTCAGCAACAGCACAGAATAATAAATAAATAATATAAATAATCAAAACAAAAGCAGGGAGGTGCGTACTGAATGGTGTCCCTTTGTTCTTCGGGGTAGCGCTGGGCCAGTGTCTTGAGCATGCGGCTGGGCACATTTCCTGTCGAGCGAGAACACTACAATAGTTGGGGGGAGTCGTTTTTCAAATCCAGGCAGAGAGAATCAACGCACCAGCAAGAACTCCGCCACAGTCAAAGATGACGCCCTTAATCTTGGTCGTGAGATCTCTCTGTGGCTTCAGTGCGCTCGTTGCCTCCATCTTCTTCTCTTCTCAGGTTGGTTCTCTCTTCTCTTCTCAGGTTATTTGTTTCTTTGTCGTCGTGTCAGTATGAGCATGTTAGGGGTTAACATTCCACCTATTCGGAGGAAATCTCGCCAGAAGTCGCCCACCCCTGCACAATCATTCCAACAATGCCACGTCAGCCACTAACCAAAGTCTGTCGCTGAGTGGGCGAGAGTGTGCTTGTGAAAGTTGTGCCTCTGTGTACCTTGCGTGTTTTCTTTTTTCTTCGCCTTGCGAGCCATTCTTCAAAGTTGAAGCTTGTCGAGCGAAGGCGAAGACCGGCCACGCCATTTTGTTCTGGCCAACGGAAATTTCGCGCTGCAAAAAGAAAAAGTAAAGTAACAACAAAGAAAAGAAAAAGAAAAGAAAGGAGATGGATGCAAGCAGGCGCAAGAGAAAGGCGTCGAGGGTGCAACGGCTGACGCCCCGACAGCAGGAGGCGCAGTCGTGGGCGGTGGTGGCGGGGGCGGGCGATGATGCCGACGGCGCGGCAGCAGCCTTCATCTTGGCGCCGCAAGTTGTGGAGGCGAAAGATGAGGAAGATGAGCTCCTGTCCGAGCAGCAGCAGCGGAAGAGGCAAAAGGTGAAGAAGGGCAAGAAGCGGTTGGGTGCTGGGTCACGCCAGAGGAGGGAGCACGCATCCGAAGAGGAGATGCTCACCATCCGAGCAGTCGGCGAGCGCGACGAAGATGCAGAAGAGGCGGAGGGGGGAGCCAGCAGATGCATCTTCATCGCCAGCGGTTTCGCACTGCAGGACGAGCTCGCCAGCGCTGATGGTGAAGGGGGCCTGAGCGTCGATGCGGCGGCGGCATCTTCTCTACCTACCACCATCGCTCGCATAAGGCTGGTGCCCTTCAAGTCGGCCATCCTCTCCGATGCCGAGATCAACCACGCCCTGGCCAATGACCATACGTCGCCTCCTTCATCTTCTTCCTCTACGTCGGCCGACTCGTGTGATCGGCAACAGCTACGCGCTACGCTCGGCCTTTTTCTGTCGACAGAAGGCGATGTGGTGGCGTGCGCGCCGTTCGACAGCGCCTTCGCCAGCCGCATCGCTGCGACGGGCGACGACGGGTCTGTGCAGGCGCCGCCGGTGGTGCCGCAGGAGGTTATCGACGCCGCGCTCTATCTGCTTCGCCACAAGCCGCACCTCGTGGGCGTACAGGCAGCCGTGGTTGGGGCCGGTCCTGGCAGCAGCTCGCGCGAGCGTCGAGTGGAGCTGCGCTTCCTGCTCCGGCCGAGCGCTTTCAAGGGTACCCTTGCGGCACACGACACGGCCAACGGCACGCACAACGGCACGCACAGGAACTCACACTTGGGCGCAGGTGCACGACACGCTGACGAACTCAAGCGCGAGCAGCCCGGCGAGGCGTTTCATGCGATTCGGCGGTTGATGGCCTGGGCCTATCCCGGCACCGTTAACGGTAACTCTGCAGGCCCGTCGTTGGTGTGTGTCGTGTGTCGTGTGTCGTGTGTGTGGGTCTGTCTGTGTTACCACAAGGCCCAAGGCGGTAACAATTTGTTTGGTGGCAGACCTCTATGAGGAGGAGCGCAACAAGCCATCAGCGGGGACGGCGGAGGCTGGCAAGCAGGGCGGCGGCGAGGAGTCTACGTTCGACCCGATGGACCTGTACCGAGAGCTGTCGCGGTGCAGCGAGGAGGGGAAGCGGAGGTTGGCGCGTGAGACGCGGCCCGTCGGCGATGCGCTGCGGGCGGAGGATCTAGAGATTCCCGGCCTCGTCGCTACGCTTCGGTCGTACCAGAGAAAGGCCGTCGGCTGGATGAAGCTTCGAGAGACGGCCCAGCGAAGCGACGAAGAAGACCAAGACGGCGACGATCAGAGCCTGATCGACGAGCCGAACGTCGATGACGAGGGCGAAAAGAAAGGCAAGGAAAAGCTCGACATGACGGTGGATGAGGTGACACCATCATCGTCTAAGAGCGCTATTACTACTCCGCTGCACCCCCTCTGGACGGAGTATCAGGGCACCAGGCTTCAAAGAGAAGAAGGCGAGGACGGCGTGGACACCACCACGGGCGTGACGTTCTACTTCAACCAGTTCACGGGCAAGTTTACGCTTGCCCGCTTCCCGGCACCGTCGGACGTGAGCGGTGGTATATTGGCCGATGAAATGGGTAAGTTCTGGTTGTGTTTCGCTGTCGGTTGTTGCTGCTGCTGCTGTTCGTCGTAGGCTCAGCTAATGATGTTGTGTGGTTCGCGCTTAATCGTCAGGTCTGGGCAAGACCGTGGAGGTGCTTGCGCTGATACTCGCCAATCCGCGGCCGCCACACGCCGGCGTGGTGGCGAAAACCGGGCCAGGCGCAATGCTCACCGGTGGTGACGCGACTGAGGCCACAGCACATGACGACCCCCAGCCATCTGGCATTCGGCAGACCAACGGCAGGCTGCGCAAGAGCAAGAGGAACAGGAAGAAGAGGCAACACAAGGAGATCGAATCTCCCACGGAGAACACCGAGGAGGTACGAACACTTTCATTCGAATTGACTGACATTGGATTTCTTTATACGAATATAATACTAATATAGAAATATATAATTACTATTATTACTTTATTACTTACTTATTTTGGATGCATTCAGGAGGACCAGGTCTGGTGCTTCTGCGGCGATGACGATCCGGACTACGCCGGCGTGTGGGTACAGTGCGAATCTTGCAGGCGTTGGCAACACTCAGCGTGTGTGGGTTATGTGCCCTCCGGTCCTAAGCAGTACGCAGCTCTCTCCTCTCCCATCGCGTCGGGGGTCGTTGGTCGTGTCGTGTGTGTCGCGCGTCGTATGCCGTGTAATTGGTCGTCAGAGCACTCCTGATTGGGGCGTCGTGCGTATAGGACTGTGACCAGGAAGAGAAGGAGGACCAGCAAGAACACGACGCCAAAGAAGAGGAACACGAAGGGAAAGCGGAGGACAAGCAAGAAGAAGAAGAAAGGAGAGAGCAGCGAAGACGAGTACAGGGAGGAGGAAGGGGAAGAAGAAGAAGAAGGGGCAGAGGATGACCGCAGCAAGCAGGAGGTAACGGAGGTGCTGACAGGCGACTCGTACGAGTGTCCCGAGTGCACGGCCCGCGGCGGACAGCAGCTCGAGTCGAGGGCTACCTTGATCGTGTGCCCCGACTCGATCCTAACCCAGTGGCAGCAGGAGATCGAACGTCACACCAGGCCTGGCGCGCTCAAGGTATCGCCTGGTGGTGAACATTCGACACACACACACACACACACACACACACACACACACACACACACACACACACACACACCACTGAGACTCTCTTGTACACACACAGTACCTGGTCTACGAGGGCGTGCGCGGAACGGTCTCCAAGCACGCTGGCGGGCTGCCGATCGTGCGACCTGCCCAGTTGGTCGACTACGACGTCGTGTTGACCACCTACACCACCCTACGGTACTCACCAGTCCTGTTTGTTCGTTGAAGCGCTTTGCACAATAAACTAACATTTCTTTTTTCTTCTTGCATTCTTTCAGGAATGACTTGAGCCACGTCATCAGCCAGAGCCCCTCAAGAAACTTCAGGGACAAGAAGCGATACCGACCAATCCCTACTCCTCTGCTGGGTACGGACGTGGTGGGCCTCCAGACATTCCTCGCATTCTTCTGAATAGCTCTCAACATGGCCCTGGGTGGGCTACAGGCGTGCGGTTCTGGCGCACCTGCTTAGACGAGGTGCAGATGATCGAGACGCCGTCGACCAAGGTCGCCAAGATGGCGCTGCGGCTGTCGACGGTGAACAGGTGGGGCGTCAGCGGGACGCCCATACAGCGGCGCGGGCTGGAGGACCTGCACGGCCTGATCGCCTTCCTGCAGCTCGCGCCGTTCGACGCCCGGAGCGTGTGGCGGCAGTGCGTGCAGCTGCCCTACGAGCGCGGGGAGATGCGGGACAAGCTGCACGGGTTCCTGCGCACCATCATGTGGCGCACGAGCAAGGTCGATGTCGTCGACGAAATCGACATTCCTCCCCTGCACGAGAAAACTCGATTCCTCACCTTTTCTCCAGTCGAGGTACGACACGACACACGCACACACACACGCACACACTCATTGCGGAGTAATGCGACATGCAGGCGCACTTTTACAAGAAGAGGCTGGGCGACACCGTGCAACGCACCCGCACCATATTCGAACGCTTAAAGCACAACCGTGCGATCAACTTTGAGAAGAACGTGTCCAAGATCTTCGGGTCACTCCTCTCCCTCCGGCAGGCGTGCTGCCATCCGCAGGTACGCGAGCGATTCCTCGTATCTAATCAATTGAGGAATTCGACTAATGTTCAGCATTAGGTGGGCAGCAAATCGGGCCTCACCTCCCTCCAGAAGAACACCATGTCTATGAGCGAGCTGCTCCTGCAGCTGATTATCAGGTAATCATCAAATATTCAAATATTATCTCGTTTGATTTGTGAACATTTCTTGCATTCTTGAACAGGGCCACCATCGAATGCGCGGATGGGCAGCGAAACCTGGTCGCGTCGCTCAACGGTCTGGCCGGCGTGGCGCTGGTGAACGGCGACAAGCTGCAGGCGATCCGCAACTACCGCCAGGTCCTGGGCATGGAGTTCCGACCCATCGACGAGGAAGGGCGCAAACAGCTGCCCGCCAGCGTCAACGAAGGTTCAACGCGTGTTCAACCACTCCTCTTTCGCGCGTTCACTGACTGTGTGTGTGTGTGTGTGTAGCCGAAATTATCAGCGTTGATGCTTTGCAGAGGCTGCATGCGTTGGCAAACCTGGCCGAGGTTTTCCAGGGCATGGCGGACGACGAGCGGGCAGAACTGGAGAAGACTGAAGGGCACACCCTCAACGACCATCGCCTGGTGGAAGAGGCCGCGAAGCTGCGCGAGCTCTACGCCAAGAGAGCTGGTCCATACCCCGCATCCTCACTGCTTCCACTTCGTGGGTTATTTATTTATAATTTTATTGATTGGTTTATTCATTTTCTCTTTTGTGCAGAACTCGAGCAGCTGGTGGCGCAGGACAAGTGGAAGGAGGCCACGCGGAAGATCAAGGAGGCCGAGGATGCCACGATCACCCACAACGGCGAGTCCAGGGTCAAGCCGGAGATCATCACGGGCGAGGACACAGTGGAGCGGGAGGTGCGGCTCAACGCCTGGTGGGTCGAGGCCCTCAACCTCATCGACAGCGCCGACGACAACCACAACTGCGACTTCGTCACCAAGCTGCGCAACGAGCTGCTGGCCCAGGAGGAGCGCACGCAGGGCAAGATGCGCGGGAGGGGCGGGCGCGCCCTGACCCTCGCGCACCGGTTCCAGACCGTCGCCACCCTCAAGCACCTCCTCTTCAACGAGCTCAAGGAGCTCGCGAAGAAGCGCGCCGCGGCGGTCAACGCCCTGCTGCACCTGGGCGACCGCACGCCGACCGCGGCCGACGTCGAGCTCAGCGGCAACTGCCGGCAGTGCCGGAGCTACTTCAACAAGACGGGCCAGGTGTGCGACCACTGCAAGGCCCACGTGCTGCTGATGAACTACGACGGATCCCTCTACCGCTACCGCCAGAAGGCGCCCGGCGAAGATGGTGACGGCGATGACGGCGATGGCGCGAAGAAGGCCCACAGCAAGAACAAGAAGGGCAAGACGCCGGCGCAGGGGGAGGACGGCGAAGCGAGCGAGACGGTCGGGTTCGGCAGCTTCCGCGAGAGTTCGGAGGCCGAGCAGGTGCTGGCACACATCGTGCGCCACCTGCGCAGCAGCAGCGGCTCTTCCAAGAGCGATGAGGAGCGGAAGCAGTTGCTTGAAGAGGGCGCGGATCACATCAAACGCCTGCAGATGATGAAGCACGAGCTCAAGCTCAGCCACGAGGTGCCCACCTTCCTTCAACATGCCAGCTTTCGTTTTCTTTCGTTTCGTTTCGTGTTGTTTTTCTAATTTGCTTTTTCTTGGGCTCTAGGTGTGGACGAAGCAAAAGGAGCGATTGTCGGCTCTTGACGAGCTGGAGATGGCGACCGTCAGGATTCGGCTCCGCGTCCCTGGTTCGTGGCCTTATTATTATTATTATTATTATTATTATTATTTTAAAAAACACACTTTACAATTCTGTGTTTCCTAAACGTTTCGGAAACGTTGCAGGTGAGATCGTGCCGCCCGAAGAGGAGGTGGTCAAGCTGTGGCCCGTTCAGGTGGAGGAGGTCAAGCGGAGGCTGGAGGTGATGAAGAAGGAGTCCGAGTCGGAGCTGCAGCGAGCGCGGGGCCAGCTGCGCTACCTCAAGACCCTCGCGCAGAACAAGGCCAAGGTCGACCGGGAAGAAGGGGAGCACCAGCAGCCGCCGATCGACGGCTCAGCTGTCGACACGACGAAGGGCAAGGAGAAGCTGGAGGCCGATGCCTCCGAAGGCGACGGAGTTGAGGAAGAGGTCAAGGAGTGCGTCATCTGCCAGGAGACCCTCAAGAACGACAGCGATGTCGCTATCCTCCTGTGCGGCCACGAGTTCTGCTGCCCGTGCATCATGACCATGGTCGACAGGTAACCACACGACACGCGCGTCACACATAGCACACACGGCACACACCGCACACGCACGCAAAGACTCACGCGATTCGGCCTCTCAGGGCGCTCCATGGAACGATCAAGTGCCCCACGTGCCGCTCGCGAATGAACACGACCGAGCTCACCTTCTTCTCCTCATCCGCCACAACTACTACGGCCCCGCCCACAGTGCTGACGTCATCACACGTCATCGGCGACGGCCACGACGATGACGCTGCGGAGGAGGCGCGGGCCAGAGCGCTGCAAGAGGCCGAGGAGACGGCCCAGGAGCGGCGGGTCGAGGTGAAGGGCAGCTGGGGCACGAAGATCGAGGGCGTCGTGCGCTGCATCCTTCACGTGCAACAGAGCGCGCAGGCGCAGGAGCGCGAGCGAGAGAAGGGCAAGGAGAAGGCTGACGCCGATGCCGGCGCCATGGACGACGAGCTCCTCCTGCAAAACATCACGCGTGTCGACAATAATAGCAGGATCAAGTGCCTCGTCTTCAGCCAGTGGGACGACGTGCTGTTGCTCGTGTCGAGGTACCACCACTCGATGATGATGTTGATGATGACGATGATGACGATGATGACGATGGAGGTGGTGATGACGATGGCTGATTGGGTTGTGATGACGTAGGGCGTTGAGCGAGAACGGGGTGAATAATATTCGTCTGCGTACGGCCAACAAGAAGATACTGCAACGGGATCTGGACAACTTCAAGTCGCGCTCCGACGTGCCCGTCCTTCTTCTGCCCATTCGGTGCCCTCTCTTTATTTTTCTTTTCGGTCTCATTCAAGGAAATCGAACCGCTCACGCTTCTTTCTGCTGCCACTAGGACTGGGTGCAACGGACTCAATTTGATCGAAGCAACTCATGTGTTCATCGTCGAGCCATCGCTCAAGTACGCACCGCCCGTACATCACAGCAATGAAAGTGATGAATAATCATAGCTAACTCAGGGATAAAATTATAATAAATAATAAAATCTGTTATTGAATGTACAGCCTGGGAGCAGAGGCGCAAGCGGTGGGTCGAGTGCACAGGATCGGGCAGTCCAAGCAGACCTTCGTGTATAGATTCTTCATTCAGAGTACTGTGGAGAGCAAGATCTACGAACACGTCTATCAAAAGGTACACCCGAGACATGACCACACGACACGACCAACGACACGACCAACGACCCGACACCTACTTGATAGTAACATTGTCCTTACCATTACACAATACAATAGCCAAAGGACAGGCCACAGGTCACGTCAGCGCCAACTGAATCTTCGAGCAGCAGCGGAGGCAGTATTGAGAAGTCACACACCGACGCTATGGAGGTGGAGGACCACGACGCAGCGACGCCGACAGCAGCGGCTGCGGTGGTGGTGACGAAGCAGAACCAGGCGGCCGAGGCCGACAGCGTGGACGCGCTGTGGGAGGAGAACATGTCGCACTTCCACCGGACCAAGAAGGGCCGCGAGTGCGACATGAGCCTGGCCGAGCTCGGCGAGCTCCTCGGCATCGACCAAGCAGACCAAGCAGCGGCCGCAGCAGTCGACACAGGTGGCGCCCAGCCCGTCTCAGCTACTGGTGGCGGAGGCGAGGAGCTCGAGGGCCAGCAGGCAGCGGCCAACGAGGCGTACTGGGCCGAGGCGGTGGAGTACCACCGACGGACGATGCGCCGCGACGACGCCCTGAGAGAGATCGAGCGGGTGGCCTCGTGGGAGAGGCGATGGAAGCACCACCAGCGCAAGCGCCAGCTCCAACAAGACGACCAAAAAGAAGAAGCTTCGAAGAAAGAACACGAGGAGGCGAAAGATGATAGAGAAGGCGGCGACAACGAACAGGAGGCCGAGTGCCGGGTCGAGCGCTACGGCAGAATGATGGCGCCCCAGGTTTGGCGTCAGCTTGACGCTTTGCGCCCGCAGCAGCCGTAACACGTTGCTTGTTGCACCAGCGCGTGGCAAGCGATCACTTCAAAAATAAGCCGTTACGTGGACTGGGCCAAACCGATCTCCGGGCCATTACCGGCTGCAACAGTGACACCATGTAAACACCTCATCAACACGAGAGTGCCGGAGGACATTGATGTATTTGTAGTGTGGCCGCGGAGCACGCATCTTACTTCTTCTTGTGGAAGAAGCAGGTGTCGCTGGTGCACGGCGACATGGTCCAGTTGAAGATCAGTGTGAAGCCGCCAAAGGACGGCTGACACTGGGGGGCACACAGGGTCCGGGTAATGGTCGGGTCGGAGCCGAACTGGTAGAGGCAGCACGCGTTGCCCATGCACGGCGGCACCGGGTTCGGGCTCGGGCTCAGGCTCGGGCTGGGCGTGGGTGCGCCGATCGGGCAGGCGTACTTGGACACGTACTGGAGGTCGTAGGTCTTGATGGGGTCTTCCTGGAGGAAGGAGAAATCGCCAGGGTCCTTGCTCGGGTCGCTGCAATATATAAAAAAGAAAAGTGCAAAAATGAAGATTAATTAAGTGGTACCGAAATGATGCGCTTTGTACGAACCACACGAAATAGATCTTGGAAGCGCGGCCGTCTTGGCCGCCGGAGTAGGAGACAGTGAAGCCGGCGTTGTCGGGGCGGTTCGGCAACGAACTGAAGGTGGCCGTCTTCTGGTTCCCAAGGTCGTGGAACTCCGCAGGGATGCGCGAGTCCTTCTGGCACACGGCGGGCGTCATGTCGTCCACGGTCTGGCAGAAGTTGTTGCTCACCACGCCGCACACGCGGTAGTAGTAGGTCTGGCTGCGTGTATCCTGCGTCTGGAGGTCCACAGCGCCAAGCTTCTGGGCGAGCGGGGTGAGGTCATAGGCGTAGCCGCCCACCTTGCCCTGGCAGTCGCTCTGGCCAGAGGTTTTACATGAACTGGAAGTGAGGGCAGCATGTTGGCCACTGATTATGGAATTGATGGAGGGGGTGAAAGCAAAAGCAAGGTGCATTTTGAGGTTGTTCCAAGTAGCACCAACACAAAACAAGGTAGAGTCAGATTTTACTCTGCACCAACACATCTGTGATAAGTGTCTCACAACCAAGCCCTTCATTGTTAGATTTCTCAATGAAGATGAGCGCCTTGACTGAAACAATGTTGATGAGTTTGGTATTACTTCCCACACCACTTTGATTTAGCTGCACTCATGGTCATTCAGTTTTTAGGCTATTCACAATTCCCAATGTGCATTGGTTTTTTTGGGTACTAACTTTTAACCTTCCAGAGGCTGTTGATTGTAACCACAGAGTTGTGGTCTGGAACCTTGTTGAGCACTGGCAGTGGGAGAATGTCTATGAAGTTGTGCCAGCAGCTGCAGGGATGGAACTCAGCTGGATCATCCTTGACTGCATCTCCAGCTTTGAGAACTACATCAACTTGGTGGGCTCAGTCATCCTGAATGCTTTCAAAAAGGCCCTGAACTACTACACCCTCAGCCAAAACCCACTCTTCCAGATCACATGTGGCAAAAAAACTGTTACTGACTACAATGCTCTTGCTGAGCACCTGGTATGTCCACCACCCTCATATTTCAAACCATTACTCATCACCCCACACCTAACAGAAAACGCTCAAGGGTCATGCTGCACCAAAGCCCACCACTCTGCAGAAGTACTCAACTACCTTAAGGGCCCTGTTCCATGCTCCAGGAGTGGTGGAGTATGTTATTTCTACTCTAACTCTTCCCCTTTGTTTTGAGTCCTTGCTAACTGTTCCCCTTTTCCAGTCTTATCAAGGAACTCAATTGCCTCGTTCCAGAGGGTCAGGTGTTCATCTCCCTTGACAACCTCAACTCTGGTGCCTTCAGGGAATTGAGTGCCAATGACATGATCACCATGCTTCATCATTATAAGCACTATCAACACCAAGCCCCTTCCAAGAGTATGTCCTTTCTTCTTAGTTCTTTTGTTCTTCTCCCCACAAGTCTAACTACTTCCCTCTTGCCAGAGAACTTCTGGTCACTAATCACCAACCACTGGAGCAAGATCAAAAGGCAGATGGAGGCCTTTCATCAGGCTGTTCATGCAGCCATGGAGGCTGACTGCTGCTGTGAAGATCCTGAGGAGCTTCATCTGGGACTGGATCTGTGTTGTGGAATACATCGTGCTGTGTGGTAAAAACATTGAGATCAAGCAGCCCCACAGCATCACCTCTGAAGTTGTTGACACGTTCTGCAAGCACCTGTTCCAGTCAAAACTTCTCAGTGATGAGGCAGAGGAGACCACACCTTGCCAGTTATGAGGGGAGATTGCATGTGCCACTGCAGCTTCTCAAGCAGAGGAGGCCTCCCTTGCCTCAATGTCCACAAGTGAACAGCGCCAGCATCTTTCTGTGTTGGCCAAGGGGAAAATGGTACAATCAACTCCTTCCTGTTCCAATTCACACCCCATTACTTTCACTTACACCACTATTTTCTGACTTCAGCCCACTGCTGCTGAAGCTTCTGGCACCACTCCAACCACCCCAACCAGTACGTTTTCATTTTGCTGGTAAAGTTCCAAGCTCACCACATGCTTGTTCTTTACAGCTACCAAGAAATGTGGCAAGGGTAAGGCTGAAGAGGAAAAGTCACCATCTACCATCAAGCACAAGGCAGAGCTTGCTCTCCAGAAAAAGTATCTCCCCCAATTCACCAAGCTGCTCACCAAGCTTCTTGGCCAACCAATGCAATTCCATGAATGGCCGGTGCATTTATCAGCCCACATTGTTTTCCTGATGCACATCAGTTTTTTATTTGTTGACACTTTTCCCAATGCACATCAGGTTTTTATTTGTCAACTCTTTTCCCCAATGCACATCAGTTTTTCACTTATTCCTGATGTCCACCGTTTTTTTTCTTCCACAGGTGTCAATCTACATGCACAACTTTACCATCCACAGTGCAGACATTCCTCTCAACATCAACAACACAGCAACTTGCCTATCAAAGTCTTACAGTCTCAGATTCTACATCTCCTCATCTCCCTCCAACATCACCAACACCATCACCTCACTCAAGTCACACTCCACCCTCCAGGTCTTCCACCTACTCCACTTCTACTACAGCTCCCCAACTTACTCCAGCTCCATGCCCACCTCTGAACCTCTCATCAGTGGCTTCAATGTTCTCATCTTCAGCCACAAGAGGGTTAACATGTCCACCATCTGGCATCCTCTGGCCAGCAACACCATCCCCAAACCCTTCTGCTATCTGCACCACATCCCCATCCCACACCCAACACATGAGGTTGTCCACTCTGCTCCTGCTTTCCTCACAGCTCAATCATTGGACTGCACCCTGCTTCACATCAGCCTCTACAGCTTCCTCATCCAGAGCTTAGAGCTTCCCAATCCTTCTCCCCACCCCATCACATCGCCCACCACCCCCTACCACATTCTCTATGAGGCAAATCCCACCTACTTCCTCTCCTTCTGTGCTGCCCTTTACTCCAGCTTTGTCTGCCTCTCCTCTACCCCCATAGCAGAGGGCAACATCTCCTCTCTCAGCAACTGGCTCCTCACCTTCCACTCTAAATTCCTGGAGGAGTCAGATCTCACAGCCATCACTTCCTTCCTACAAGGCCTATCTTCACATCCTGCCCTTGCCCCTCTCACACCCAAGACCAGCTCCTCCTCCTCTTCCAGTCCATGGAAAGTGTGGAAGTCCATTGGCTAATGTTTCCCTCCACTCTGTTCTGTTCCTCATTCCAACAAAATACATTAGCCCTTTTTGTGGACTTATGCCTTGAAATTCTTCCTTGGCCCCATCTGCTTTTACCATGACCAACACCATTTTTTCCCTGTTTTGCCACTCTCTGTACATATTTTGCCAAAACCACTCACACACCATGTTCACAAAAGTACTGCTTTTGCTGCACATACACATATATCACTTGTACAGATTTTACTTAACAAAAGGTGCCACTGGCACCTTTTTCCAGACACAGTGTTAAGAGAAAGCACTGAGATCATGAGGATACTGACACCCACACCCACAGATGCAGCAGTGCCCACAATGACTGCCACAAGCACAGCCATGGATCACAACACAAGCACCACAAGAGCAGGAGCCAGAGCAGGAGCCAGAGCAGGGACAGAAGCCACAACTCTGACATTGACCAATTGCCTGACCTTGGGTCACTTTCCCCTTTCCACTCTGGTTCTGATGTGGATAGGAGTGAATACTAAACTCTGTCTTTCCAATCTTTCCAACTTTTAAAATAAACTCCTTTGTTCACTTCCCAATTCATCAAAAAAAGCTTCCTCCTCCAGGCATGTGCTCAATGACAATCACCACCATGCAAATAAAATAAAGAACACTGGCTACCCCAGTAATCCTGCCCACTACGTAGCACCAGCACACAGAAGATCTAGCTGGTGGCTAAACCCAAGGGGGGAGTGGTGCGCACAACAGGAACGTACAAAGAAAAATATTTTCTCTCGCACCTGGCCTGGGGCTACCGTGGCGAGGCCTCCCAACCCGGAGTGTAGAAAGAGAGGACGAATATCCAACAAGGTGGACCATGTGTTTGTGGCCCACACGTTAATGGGCATGCATGTAACACACATCTTACTTCTTGTGGAAGAAGCAGGTGTCGCTGGTGCACGGCGACACGGTCCAGTTGAAGACCAGCGCAAAGCCGCCAAAGAATGGCGGACACTTGGTGGCGCACAGGGTCCGGGTCATGGTCGGGTCGGAGTCAAACTGGTAGAGGCAGCACGCGTTGCCCTTGCACGGCGGCGCCGGGTTCGGGCTCAGGCTCGGGCTGGGCGTGGGTACGCCGATCGGGCAGGCGTACTTGGACACGTACTGGAGGTTGTAGGTCTTGACGGGGTTTTCGCTGGCGAAGGAGAACACGCCAGGGTCCTTGCTCGGGTCGCTGCCAAATATAAAAATAAATAAAAATTGAAAATGAAATTTTAAAATAAAAAATTCATGGCGCTAACAAATACGAAACAAAATTTAGCGGTACGAACCACCATATTTCGTGGATACCAGCAAAAAAGGTGCAGAAAATGATGGACACGGAGGCGAAGATCGAGGACGTCTGGACGAACCCCAGCGGCACGCTCAAGGGCGTGGGACCCGGCACGGAACTTGACTGGTACGTGCAGCGGCTGCGGGCCAATCAATCAAACGTCGTCAAGGTCGACCTGTGCAAACAGATGCTCGGCCCCGAGGGTACGCCCGTGTTATTGATTATTCATTATTATTTTATTCTTGCTGTTTTAATATATTTCAGTTAATGTGGAAAGGTGAAGCTGACGCACACGGCCGTGCGTGCAGGTGCGAGGGAGATCATGGAGGCGCTGGAGAACAGCACCACCGCGCGCAGCGTACTACTGGGCGCCGACGAAATCGGACCCGAGGGAGCCCGCGCCGGTACCGCCTCGCCCGCCCGCTTACATTTCGTCGCCACCATCATCGTCTCACCGCACCACCGCACCACTGCACCACCACACTACCGCACCACCGCACATGCGCGACTGACCGACCCCGACCTGGTGCAGTTGGCCAAGCGCTGCTCAAGAACAGGAGCCTCAAGACCGTGTTCCTCGTATGTGCGCCAGGTCCCGCCCATCAGCCCCCCAGCTCCAGCGCTGACCCAGACATCGCCCACACAATACACCGCACACGAAACACGACACACACGACACACACGACACACGACACACACGACACACGACACGCACCTAGGGATGCAACGGAATCGGTGAGGAGGGCGCCAAGTACATCGCGGAGGCGATCGAGAACAACGACGTGGTGGAGGGCTACTGGCTCAAGCGCAACCAGATCGGCCTGACGGGCCTCCAGGCCATCCTCTCCGCCCTCCGCACCAACCAATCGTACGCGTCACACCCTGACCCGCGGGCGATTGGCTAATAATTAACCACTACATCACCGATTGGTCGATCATGGATGGTTAAATCGGTCAATCATCGATGCAGGGTGAAGACGCTCGATCTGGTGCAGAACAACCTGGGCGTGGAGGGCGCGCGACTGCTCGAGGAGGCGTTCGTCGACGCCGCGCACCCGCTTTCCATCATCAGCCTCTACCTCTCGGGCAGTACGCGTCGTCATATGTCGTTGTGTGTCGTGTATCGTCGTGTGCGTGTGTCGTGTGTTGTGTGTCGTGTCGTGCGCTCGCTCATACGCGTCCGCCAGATGAGTTTGGCGTGGACGGCGCGCGGCACATTGCGGGCATCATCCGCCGCAACACCACCATCAAGCACCTCTACCTGGGCCTCAACAACCTGGGCGAAGAGGGCGGGCTGCTCATCGCCGAGGCCCTCAAGGAGAACAAGACCCTGCTGACGCTGGCCGTGTTGTCCAACGAGCTCGGGCCGCGCGCTGCGGCCACATTCGCCGACGCGCTCCGCCTCAACAATACCCTCACTTGCCTCGTACGGCCCACCTACCCACTACCAAGGGCATGCAGCACACTCACGTGTGTGTGTGTGTGTGTTGTGTGCGTCGACGCACTCACATGTGTTTGTGTGTGTGTGTTGCGTGTCGCAGGATCTGGGCTATGCCAAAGCCACGAAGGCGCTGGAGGGCAAGCCCAACGTTATCGAGGACGCTGGCGCCCAGGCGATCGCCGCCGCCGTGGCCGAGGTTCGCGCCAGCCGCTGTCACACTCGCGATTGCTCCGTCACTGACCGCACGCACGCACGCACCGCATACGTTCGATTGGTCGTGAGCGCAGAACACGTCGCTGCGTGTGCTCAATCTTACCCAGAACGGGATCGGCGAGGCCGGCTACCTGGCTGTAGCCGAGGCCCTGCGCACCAACACCTCGCTGACGCACCTCGTGCTCGACCGCAACCGCATGCCCACGGCGCCCGTTTACCAGGCCTTTACCGACGTCCTCACCACCACCAACACGACCCTCTCCAAGCTCACCCTCGCCAACGCCTCCCAGGTTCGTTGTGTGTGTGTTGTGTGTGTGTGTGTGTGTGTTGTGTGTGTGTGTGTGTGTGTTGTGTGTTGTGTGCTGTGTGTGTGTGTGTGTGTGTTCACGATCTCAACTACGCTCAACAGAGGCATCCGAATGCGAGCCTGGCGGCGCAGCTGAAGGCGCTGGTGGCCCGCAACAAGGCGCGCGCGGCGAAGCTGGACCCGTCGGCGCTGCCCGAGGACGAGCAGAAGCGACTGCGCGAGCTGAGGGACATCAAGAGCGACTACCGCCTTCCCAAGGCGACCACCGCTGGCGACGCCCAAGACAAGCGCAAGCAACAAGGTCCGTCCCCCCCCCCCCTCGCATTTTGCACTTCGTTCTTCTTCGTTCTTTCTGACGTCCCCCCCCCGTCGCGTATTCGTTCTTTGGGTTGCCATTATTTGTTGTAGACGCGGACAAGGCGGTGCAAGTGGAGGGACAGGGCGAGGCCAAGAAGCCGAAGCTGGACGACAAGGCCACGCTCAACCGCCTGCGGAAACTCAAGAAGCGGTTCCGCTCGCTCGAGGCGTCAAACGCCTCCGAGGAGCTCAAGCTCGCGCTCCAACAGCAGATCGCCGCCCTCACCCCGTACGCACCGCTCTTTGTCGTGCGCGTGTGCGGTGTGAATGCAGTGTGTGCGGTGGTGCGCGTGTCTGACTTCAACTGTGGCGTAGGTCGGCGGAGGAGTCAGCGGAGGCGGCAGTCCATCGCCGCTTGGCGCAGATCGACAAGCTGGAGACGATGCTGCGCGACGTACGGCCTACCCGACCACCCTTTTCCCCCTCCTTTCTGTTGCTCACATGACACGACACACGACGACGACAACGACACGCACGCACACAACACGACACACAGGGCGTGCAACTCACGGCGGCGGAGCACAATAAGATTGCGCGCAAGCAGGAGTTCCTTCAACGCCTGCAGGCCTTCCACCACTGAGGAAGGGGCGACAACGCCCAGCCACTCGTTGATGGCACTTAGTTGGGAGGTGTGATGGCGAATGAATGCATTTTTTTCTTGAATGAAGAAAACGTGTGAGTGCGTGGTGTTGCGGCCATCAACAATGCTTGGGGGCTGCGGCCTCCCAGCTCCCGGTGAGCCGCAGGTGTGGAAGGGTGGCCAACAGGCCGGCGCGCTTCCGCTCAACGAAGGTCTTGACATCGAACACAAAGGGCTCGTCGCCAAAGTTGATCCTGGCCACACAACCTGCGCCTGTTTGTGAAGTCAGGCGGGCCAAAAACACAAAAATGAATCATGTCTGGGGGGGGGCAGTACCGACTGCGGGATAGGTCTCCTTCCGGTCCAGCGGGAAACGGCACACGAAGACATCGGTCGTGTTGGGCTCCTCGTCCGCGGAAGAGGACCGCCGCCATGAAACGCTTTTCTTCTTCTTCGATCGAAACGAGGGGCTGGTCCATGGTGGCGCGCGCCACCTCTGCAAAGGCCTCGGCCAGCGTCTCGCGGCTCGAGCCGACGAACGGCTGCGTGGCCAGGCGCCGATTGT